GCAGTCTAGTCAATTTCGAATCGCGATAACTGATAAACTCCTTCCCCTCGCTTAGTTGCCTTATCACATTTCCTAATACTGACAAAGATTTGTTTATGTTAGCCCCCTCTTTAAGATGCTCACCAGCAGCTTTCGTCAGAGAAACTCTCTCAGAACCAGCTAAGTCCATTGAGTTAAGGTAGCTTATATGTACAGGTCCATCTTTCTGATTGGCATCTTTCGACTCCAGAATAATCCGGAAAATCGTGTGTGATCGAGATGACCTCTCATTCATGCGAATAGCTGCAACTCGTCTGATCTTATTGCCCTACATCATGTTCTCCATAACTTGATCAACATTGTCTACGACAGCTTCCCTTGCATCAAACAGCACATTTCCTTTGATATCTTCCCTTATAGTTAAACCCTGATTGCTCTTATCCAGGAGGTCATTGATCTTTTCATTGTAGATTTCAATATAACTGAATCTAATCAAGTACCTCTTATCAACCTGGTCTGCCACATGCTGGAATAACTGATTGGATACTAATTGGAAAAGCCCAGGATCTGTTTTATTGCCCAAAATGGTGTGTGTTTTGCCAGAAGATGTTTGGCCATATGCAAATATTGTTGCATTGAAACCTTCCATGAAGGAATCGACTAAAGGTTTTACTACAGATCCATATACATCTGAATTTGTACATTCCTGGTTAAATACATGGTCGAATATATAAACCTCTCCATGGCGACACTTTCATCGGCTTCCCAATGCAGTTTTCTCTTACGTTCCAAGACGCTCTAGACCATCGGCTACTTCGCGGTGGATCATTGGTCTGATCTTTATGGCTATTGTAATATTGTCGGAAGTCATTTTGGAAGCTTGAACTGAAATTTAATTAGAACTAGGGCTATTTCACGGGTTATAAAGAGGGGCAGATGTATCAGGTTGATACATTCTTTTTTTCCTCCTTTCCAGTATAGAAATTTTTTCTCTTGTAGGCTATGAATGCGGTCCGATAGTTTAGTAGAGCTACATTTACAGGGTGACTCAAAATCAAGAAGAAACAGAATTGTTAAATTTCATATAGACTGTTATTGTTATTACAAAAAGAAGTTGAAGCAGCAGCAAATTCTCACAAAATCTATAGATCCATCACTTTCAGCACCCGATTTTCAACTTGAAAAATGCAGCTCGGTGAAGAATCACAAGGTAACTGTTGTCTATTCAGACAATACTCTTCTAAAAGCAACGCGAAGTTACCTAGTGCCTTACATGAATCGCCTTCATAATTCTTCATTATTGTCAATGGAAAACTGAAATTGTTGATTATTACAGTTTTTAATGCTGCAAATAAGCAGATGTGTTCGTGTTGGAAATCCCACGTCTAATCTCGCAAAACAGGTTATCCACCGGATCTTACTATCAACTTCTGAAATGCCATTACTGTTTTTAGCCATGTGTACAACAGGTTTGTACGCATAAAACGCTCAGGGGAACAATAAATTTCGTCGCCTAATAGAACTTTCAGTCCCAGACTGAAAAAAAAAGGAATTTACAGAAGCTGGTTGGATACCAAATAGCACAAGGCCATCTTCTCGTTCTCTAACCAGTATTGTAGTTTACACACTTCCGATCTAATGCATTACCCCCCGCCTTCATAGTGTTATAAAAATAATATAGAATCTTATCAGGTTTCTTTGATTCCTCTACTATTTTGTTATCATGCTGCATAGATTGCTATACGAGAACATGTGTATTTGGTTTTGGAAGATACTACACTAAGGCTGTAGTGCTAGTGAACATAAACTTAGAAGTACCTGGCTGTGTTTCCTTCTTATTTGGAACTACATGTTGGGGTACTTGTTACTTATTTTACGCTTCCTGCCGACATTGGTCAGTTGGTTGATGCGCAATTCTACATGTAATTCTACTGGTGTGATATTTCTGTTCGTATAGACGAAAGCATTGAGCAGGTAGTGGTGAGTCTTTGCATCATCAGTCCATACTTATTCGGTTTAGTTTTCTTGTAGGCACAGGAAGGACATCGGCCCACGAGCATCTCGTATTTTGTAGGGGACTCACCCGAAATATAAAAATTTCGACAGTTCTCTATGAGTGTTAATTTATCTGCATTTCTCGAGTCACAGGGTTATTATTTTCCAAATTGGTTGCCACGGACTTTAGTTCAGGTGAATGCGTAATAATATTGTCGTCTGGATCGACCAGTTGCAGGCGCTCGTTTTGACCAATTGTACATGTTTTTTCCATAAGCATAGCGAGGTCGCCCATAGGAAGTTGTTCAGGTTGTTCGCTAACAGCGTCGTCCTCGGCGTAGTCTATGGTGTATTGTTCATCCGTCAACAACGAAAAAATCCATTGTGAAGGAAGTTCAAATCGTACACGCAACTGACATCCTCGGATCAAATTTGACCGCAAAGTCAACAAACCAACACTTGTGATGTTTAAATTAAACTGTGGTTGAGGTATACGTGCTTATACCGTATGAGAAGTCACGGGACCCCCACCACATAACTGAGAAAGCTCGAATCATCCGACGATACCATTAAAGGATTAATTTCTATATTCTTAAACGAATCTATAAAATCAAAGTGGCTGGGTTTCAATTTACATAGCTCTTTGTATGGTCTTGTTTGCTGATCAACATTATATGCTTTCTAGACATGTTCAAGCTGTGCAGCTTCTTCACTTTCATATTAATGTCAATAAGAGCATTTCATCCATTTTTGAATAAATGTGGTTCATCACAAATTGTAGAAATACTCTTAGCATTGACTATAAAATGGAATGGACTTGATCCGTGAGTATTCTCCGAGCAAATCGTCTCAAGTGCGTTTTTGATCATTGCGCCCTGATTACAAATAGTGCCAACGACGCACAAACCAAGTCGCTGCAAGTTTGTGATCACATGAACAATAATCGTTTTCAGATCTGGGATTCTTGTATCTTTTACTAGATAATAAGCCACAACCTGCTTATAATTTTTACGAATCCCTCTTATCATGGAAGTAAGGGCATGATTTCTGATAAATCACTTTTACAGAGTTCTAGTTGATTTTGTTACCTCAGAATTCAAGATTTATTAGCTGAAAATTGTACACTGTGAGCGGTTACCAAGACTAGATTCACAATCTTAAGTCCTAGGTGCTATCGTGGTGCGTGGGATCAGCCCTAAACTTTGTCCAAACCCTGCAATAATCGTAAACACTAAACAAGGGTAGACATATTTCTAGTTTAACTGCCTGAAGATTTTCTCTATGGTTTATACGTAACCCTCCATCTATTATCTCATTTTTGTACATGTTCTGGGAGAACTCAACTTGCTCCCTATAAAATGCAACGTCTTCCTGCACAGCTGGTTCTGGTTAAGTGCCAGCCTGCTTCGGGTTTGTAATTAGTTGTTGCAATTTACCGATTTCGTCGTTATTTTTCATAATCCCGATTTCGTTTTGGCATTCCAGTTCAACCATTTGATCCTGAAGCTCTTTTATAGTAGAATCATTATGGCATCGTATATCTGAGATTTTAAATGAGTGGTTGACCTCACGTTGGTTACTCTCGTCCATCAGACTCTTTACGTCATTTCTCAGTTTAGATTCAAGTTCTTTTAGGAAGCCAATTTCATCTTGCAGTTCTGCAATGTGTGACATCGTTACATCAGTTTGTGTAGCAGCACTTAAAGAATCTTGCATATCTTCGTACTCAGCGTCAAGCATAGCTTCTAAGTCTGCAACCTTCTTTTTTGACTCAATATTTTGAGCTTCAAGAGATAGTTTAGGGCTCTCTGATCTTCCTAGGTTCTTCAGTTGAGTACGCAGCATCTCTATTTCTGACTCGTACGTTTTTAGTCTTTTTATAATGTTTTTCCAGAAAATCGAGTCTGTATTGCAAGTCGATGAAATTCTTGCGCTTTTTGAGAATTTTTTTGAACCCTTTCTATTTCTTCATTGTACGCATCCGTTACTTGGCGGAGTTCCTGACTGTAACGATCGATTTTAGAATTGGCTTCTGTGAGCTGTTTCTTCAGGTCCAAAATCTCCAGCTGATTATCTAGTTTAGTGAATTCTCTGAGCTCATTGAAAGAATCTTCCAGTTCTTTGAGTTGTCTTTTAAGTACACTTGCAGGCACGTCTTCAGCTATCACAGATTCTGCTTCGGCTAGTGCCTCCTCATATGTCTCTTCTTGAATAGGCCTCATTTCAAGTCCGGATGATTCTTCTTCGGGTGGATAATTTTTCAATGGCATATACCGTAGGAATGCTTTTTTAGGTGATACGTTGCCATAGTCTCCAAAAGTATGACGTCTTAATGTTTTTTTCGGTGTTGATGCCGAGGCTCCCATTTGGAAGCGCCCGACAATAGATACTTCCGTTTTTAGTCTTTCTATCTCGAGCAGATACTCTTGTTTGCTTTTCTCCATCTCTTCTAGCTTAATTGCCTGCTTTTTGAGCCGAGTTTCGAGATCGCGAGTCAAGTTCTGATATCCTTGAAGTGACTCTTCTGTAGCTGACAAGATGTTTACTTTCGGTTTATTTTTGACAGTTTTAGTGCTTTGGGCGAATTCTAGTGTAGATCTAGTCTCCTCCTCTGCAGCTAAAGTAACATTCCCGATAATCAATGATTTGGCATTACCGCCAAGAGCCTGTGAGAGCAGTCTAGTCAATTTGGAATCGCGATAACTGATAAACTCCTTCCCCTCGCTTAGTTGCCTTATCACATTTCCTAATACTGACAAAGATTTGTTTATGTTAGCCCCCTCTTTAAGATGCTCACCAGCAGCTTTCGTCAGAGAAACTCTCTCAGAACCAGCTAAGTCCATTAAGTTAAGGTAGCTTATATGTACAGGTCCATCTTTCTGATTGGCATCTTTCGACTCCAGAATAATCCGGAAAATCGTGTGTGATCGAGATGACCTCTCATTCATGCGAGTAGCTGCAACTCGTCTGATCTTATTGCCCTGCATCATGTTCTCCATAACTTGATCAACATTGTCTACGACAGCTTCCCTTGCATCAAGCAGCACATTTCCTTTGATATCTTCTCTTATAGTTAAACCCTGATTGCTCTTATCCAGGAGGTCATTGATCTTTTCATTGTAGATTTCAATATAACTGAATCTAATCAAGTACCTCTTATCAACCTGGTCTGCCACATGCTGGAATAACTGATTGGATACTAATTGGAAAAGCCCAGGATCTGTTTTATTGCCCAAAATGGTGTGTGTTTTGCCAGAAGATGTTTGGCCATATGCAAATATTGTTGCATTGAAACCTTCCATATACATCTGAATTTGTACATTCCTGGTTAAATACATTGTCGAATATATAAACCTCTCCATGGCGACTACTTTCATTGGCTTCCCATATGCAGTTTTCACTTACGTTCCAAAGACGCTCTAGACCATCGGCTACTTCGCGGTGGATCATTGGTCTGATCTTTATGGCTACTTTAATATTGTCGGAAGTCATTTTGGAAGCTTGAACTGAAATTTAATTAGGACTAGGGCTATTTCACGGGTTATAAAGAGGAGCAGATGTATCAGGTTGATACATTCTTTTTTTCCTCCTTTCCAGTATAGAAGATTTTTTCTCTTGTAGGCTATGAATGCGGTCCGATAGTTTAGTAGAGCTACATTTACAGGGTGACTCAAAATCAAAGAAGAAACAGAATTGTTAAATTTCTTATAGACTGTTATTGTTATTACAAAAAGAAGTTGAAGCAGCAGCAAATTCTCACAAATCTATAGATCCATCACTTTCAGCACCCGATTTTTCAACTTGAAAAATGCAGCTCGGTGAAGAATCACAAGGTAACTGTTGTCTATTCAGACAATACTCTTCTAAAAGCAACGCGAAGTTACCTAGTGCCTTACATGAATCGCATTCATAATTCTTCATTATTGTCGACGGAAGACTGAAATTGTTGATTATTACAGTTTTTAATGCTGCAAATAAGCAGATGGGGTTCGTGTTGGAAATCCCACGTCTAATCTCGCAAAACAGGTTATCCACCGGATCTTACTATCAACTTCTTAAATGCCATTACTGTTTTAGCCATGTGTACAACAGGTTTGTACGCATAAAACACTCTTACACGAAAACTGTTTATTGTCTAAAAACGAAAATACCCCATTTGAAGATGAGTAATGTAATAAATATATAATTTACGAAACTTGAACTGTAATATGAACATAAAAAAACTAACATAATGGGCCATCTAACAACATATTTGGTGTTGATATTCTACAACAAAAACAAATACTTTCTTGTATAAGGAAACGTACAATAATTCACATTTATCACTTTTCACGAAACAATGTAGCTGCGCTGTGACTTTACATACTTATTACAGATTGTAGAACATTTTTTTCATTGTGTATTGTCATGTAACACCTACGTCGTTTTTTCCCTTTAACAACTGCATCAGGATCGAGAACTCTGGGCTGAGAAGTAGACGGCTTACTTTATTCGTCGTTGGTAATTTAGGATTCTTTGCATGGCTGAACGAAGCTCCCTAGGAAGTCTTGAATCTGATAAACGTCCTCTCATACGAAGTTAAATTAGAGTTTGCCTCAGGGGAACAATAAAATTTTGTCGCCTAATAGAACTTTCAGTCCAGACTGAAAAAAAAAGGAATTTACAGAAGCTGGTTGGATACCAAATAGCACAAGGCCATCTTCTCGTTCTCTAACCAGTATTGTAATTTACACACTTCCGATCTAATGCATTACCCCCCGCCTTCATAGTGTTATAAAAATAATATAGAATCTTATCAGGTTTCTTTGATTCCTCTACTATTTTGTTATCATGCTGCATAGATTGCCATACGAGAACATGTGTATTTGGTTTTGGAAGATACTACACTAAGGCTGTAGTGCTAGTGAGCATAAACTTAGAAGTACCTGGCTGTGTTTCCTTCTTATTTGGAACTACATGTTGGGGTACTTGTTACTTATTTTTACGCTTCCTGCCGACATAGGTCAGTTGGTTGATGCGCAATTCTACATGTAATTCTACTGACGTGAACCAGTCATCTGGTGTGATATTTCTGTTCGTATAGACGAAAGCATTGAGCAGGTAGTGGTGAGTCTTTGCATCATCAGTCCATACTAACTTATTCGGTTTAGTTTTCTTGTAGGCACAGGAAGGACATCGGCCCACGAGCATCTCGTATTTTGTAGGGGACTCACCCGAAATATAACAATTTCGACAGTTCTCTATGAGTGTTAATTTATCTGCATTTCTCGAGTCACAGGGTTATTATTTTCCAAATTGGTTGCCACGGACTTTAGTTCAGGTAAATGCGTAATAATATTGTCGTCTGGATCGACCATTTGCAGGCGCTCGTTTTGACCAATTGTACATGTTTTTTCCATAAGCATAGCGAGGTCGCCCATAGGAAGTTGTTCAGGTTGATCGATAACAGCGTCGTCCTCGGCGTAGTCTATGGTGTATTGTTCATCCGTCAACAACGAAAAAATCCATTGTGAAGGAAGTTCAAATCGTACACGCAACTGACATCCTCGGATCAAATTTGACCGCAAAGTCAACAAACCAACACTTGTGATGTTTAAATTAAACTGTGGTTTGAGGTATACGTGCTTATACCGTATGAGAAGTCACGGGACCCCCACCACATAACTGAGAAAGCTCGAATCATCCGACGATACCATTAAAGGATTAATTTCTATATTCTTGAACGAATAGCTCTTTGTATGGTCTTGTTTGCTGATCAACATTATATGCTTTCTAGACATGTTCAATCTGTGCAGCTTCTTCACTTTCATATTAATGTCAATGAGAGCATTTCATCCATTTTTGAATAAATGTGGTTCATCACAAATTGTAGAAATACTCTGAGCATTGACTATAAAATGGAATGGACTTGATCCGCCAGTATTCTCCGAGCAAATCGTCTCAAGTGCGTTTTTGATCGTTGCGCCCTGATTAGAAATAGTGCCAACGACGCACAAACCAAGTCGCTGCAAGTTTGTGATCACATGAACAATAATCGTTTTCAGATCTGGGATTCTTGTATCTTTTACTAGATAATAAGCCACAACCTGCTTATAATTTTTACGAATTCCTCTTATCATGGAAGTAAGGGCATGATTTTTGATAAATCACTTTTACAGAGTTCTAGTTGATTTTGTTACCTCAGAATTCAAGATTTATTAGCTGAAAATTGTACACTGTGAGCGGTTACCAAGACTAGATTCACAATCTTAAGTCCTAGGTGCTATCGTGGTCCGTGGGATCAGCCCTAAACTTTGTCCAAACCCTGCAATAATCGTAAACACTAAACAAGGGTAGACATATTTCTAGTTTAACTGCCTGAAGATTTTCTCTATGGTTTATACGTAACTCTCCACCTATTATCTCATTTTTGTACATGTTCTGGGAGAACTCAGCTTGCGCCCTATAAAATGCAACGTCTTCCTGCACAGGTGGTTCTGGTTAAGTGCCAGCCTGCTTCGGGTTTGTAATTAGTTGTTGCAATTTACTGATTTCGTCGTCATTTTTCATAATCCAGATTTCGTTTTGGCATTCCAGTTCAGCCATTTGATCCTGAAGCTCTTTTATAATAGAACCATTATGGCATCGTATATCTGAGATTTTAAATGAGTGGTTGACCTCACGTTGGTTACTCTCGTCCATCAGACTCTTTATGTCATTTCTCAGTTTAGATTCAAGTTCTTTTAGGAAGCCAATTTCATCTTGCAGTTCAGCAATGTGTGACATCGTTACAGCAGTTTGTGTAGCAGCACTTAAAGAATCTTGCATATCTTCGTACTCAGCGTCAAGCATAGCTTCTAAGTCTGCAACCTTCTTTTTTGGCTCAATATTTTGAGCTTCAAGAGATAGTTTAGGGCTCTCTGATCTTCCTATGTTCTTCAGTTGAGTACGCAGCATCTCTATTTCTGACTCGTATGTTTTTAGTCTTTTTATAATTTTTTTCCAGAAAATCGAGTCTGTATTGCAAGTCGATGAAATTCTTGCGCTTTTTGAGAATTTTTTTGAACCCTTTCTATTTCTTCATTGTGCGCATCCGTTACTTGGCAGAGTTTCTGACTGTAACGATTGATTTTAGAATTGGCTTCTGTGAGCTGTTTCTTCAGGTCCAAAATCTCCAGCTGATTATCTAGTTTAGTGAATTCTCTAAGCTCATTGAAAGATTCTTCCAGTTCTTTGAGTTGTCTTTTAAGTACACTTGCAGGCACGTCTTCAGCTATCACAGATACTGCTTCGGCTAGTGCCTCCTCATATGTCTCTTCTTGAATAGGCCTCATTTCACGTCCGGATGATTCTTCTTTGGGTGGATAATTTTTCAATGGCATATACCCTTGTGATGCTTTTTTAGGTGATACGTTGTCATAGTCTCCAAAAGTATGACGTCTTAATATTTTTTTCGGTGTTGATGCCGAGGCTCCCATTTGAAAGCGCCCGACAATAGATACTTCCGTCTTTAGTCTTTCTATCTCGAGCAGATACTCTTGTTTGCTTTTCTCCATCTCTTCTAGCTTAATTGCCTGCTTTTTGAGCCGAGTTTCGAGATCGCGAGTCAAGTTCTGATATCCTTGAAGTGCCTCTTCTGTAGCTGACAAGATGTTTACTTTCGGTTTATTTTTGACAGTTTTAGTGTTTTGGGCGAATTCTAGTGTAGATAGATCTAGTCTCCTCCTCTGCAGCTAAAGTAACATTCCCGATAATCAATGATTTTGCATTACCGCCAAGAGCCTGTGAGAGCAGTCTAGTCAATTTCGAATCGCGATAACTGATAAACTCCTTCCCCCCGCTTAGTTACCTTATCACATTTCCTAATACTGACAAAGATTTGTTTATGTTAGCCCCCTCTTTAAGATGCTCACCAGCAGCTTTCGTCAGAGAAACTCTCTCAGAACCAGCTAAGTCCATTGAGTTAAGGTAGCCTATATGTACAGGTCCATCTTTCTGATTGGCATCTTTCGACTCCAGAATAATCCGGAAAATCGTGTGTGATCGAGATGACCTCTCATTCATGCGAGTAGCTGCAACTCGTCTGATCTTATTGCCCTGCATCATGTTCTCCATAACTTTATCAACATTGTCTACGACAGCTTCCCTTGCATCAAGCAGCACATTTCCTTTGATATCTTCTCATAGTTAAACCCTGATTGCTCTTATCCAGGAGGTCATTGATCTTTTCATTGTAGATTTCAATATAACTGCATCTAATCAAGTACCTCTTATCAACCTGGTCTGCCACATGCTGGAATAACTGATTTGATACTAATTGGAAAAGCCCAGGATCTGTTTTATTGCCCAAAATGGTGTGTGTTTTGCCAGAAGATGTTTGGCCATATGCAAATATTGTGGCATTGAAACCTTCCATGAAGGAATCGACTAAAGGTTTTACTACAGATCCATATACATCTGAATTTGTACATTCCTGATTAAATACATGGTCGAATATATAAACCTCTCCATGGCGACTACTTTCATCGGCTTCCCATATGCAGTTTACTCTTACGTTCCAAAGACGCTCTAGACCATCGGCTACTTCGCGGTGGATCATTGGTCTGATCTTTGTGGCTACTTTAATATTGTTGGAAGTCATTTTGGAAGCTTGAACTGAAATTTAATTAGAACTAGGGCTATTTCACGGGTTATAAAGAGGGGCAGATGTATCAGGTTGATACATTCTTTTTTTCCTCCTTTCCAGTATAGAAGATTTTTTTCTCTTGTAGGCTATGAATGCGGTCCGATAGTTTAGTAGAGCTACATTTACAGGGTGACTCAAAATCAAAGAAGAAACAGAATTGTTAAATTTCATATAGACTGTTATTGTTATTACAAAAAGAAGTTGAAGCAGCAGCAAATTCTCACAAATCTTTAGATCCATCACTTTCAGCACCCGATTTTTCAACTTGAAAAATGCAGCTCGGTGAAGAATCACAAGGTAACTGTTGTCTATTCAGACAATACTCTTCTAAAAGCAACGCGAAGTTACCTAGTGCCTTACATGAATCGCCTTCATAATTCTTCATTATTGTCAATGGAAAACTGAAATTGTTGATTATTACAGTTTTTAATGCTTCAAATAAACAGATGGTGTTCGTGTTGGAAATCCCACGTCTAATCTCGCAAAACAGGTTATCCACCGGATCTTACTATCAACATCTGAAATGCCATTACTGTTTTTAGCCATGTGTACAACAGGTTTGTACGCATAAGACACTCTTACATGAAAACTGTTTATTGTCTAAAAACGAAAATACCCCATTGAAGATGAGTAATGCAATAAATATAATCCTCGAAACTTGAACTGTAATATGAACATAAAAAAACTAATAAAATGGGCCATTTAACAACATATTTGGTGTTGATATTCTACAACAAAAACAAATACTTTCTCGTATAAGGAAACATACAATAATTAACATTTATCACTTTTCACGAAACAATGTAAGTGCGCTGTGACTTTACATACTTATTACAGATTGTAGAACATTTTTTTCATTGTGTATTGTCATGTAACACCTACGTCGTTTTTTTTCTTTAACAACTGCATCAGGATCGAGAACTCTGGGCTGAGAAGTAGACGGCTTACTTTATTCGTCGTTGGTAATTTAGGATTCTTTGCATGGCTGAACGAAGCTCCCTAGGAAGTCTTGGATCTGATAAACGTCCTCTCATACGAAGTTAAATTAGAGTTTGCCTCAGGGGAACAATAAAATTTCGTCGCCTAATGGAACTTTCAGTCCCAGACTGAAAAAAAAAGGAATTTACAGAAGCTGGTTGGATACCAAATAGCACAAGGCCATCTTCTCGTTCTCTAACCAGTATTGTAATTTACACACTTCCGATCTAATGCATTACCCCCCGCCTTCATAGTGTTATAAAAATAATATAGGATCTTATCAGGTTTCTTTGATTCCTCTACTATTTTGTTATCATGCTGCATAGATTGCTATACGAGAACATGTGTATTTGGTTTTGGAAGATACTACTCTAAGGCTGTACAACATAAACTTAGAAGTACCTGGCTGTGTTTCCTTCTTATTTGGAACTACATGTTGGGGTACTTGTTACTTATTTTTACGCTTCCTGCCGACATAGGTCAGTTGGTTGATGCGCAATTCTACATGTAATTCTACTGGTGTGATATTTCTGTTCGTATAGACGAAAGCATTGAGCAGGTAGTGGTGAGTCTTTGCATCATCAGTCCATACTTATTCGGTTTAGTTTTCTTGTAGGCACAGGAAGGACATCGGCCCACGAGCATCTCGTATTTTGTAGGGGACTCACCCGAAATATAAAAATTTCGACAGTTCTCTATGAGTGATAATTTATCTGCATTTCTCGAGTCACAGGGTTATTATTTTCCAAATTGGTTGCCACGGACTTTAGTTCAGGTGAATGCGTAATAATATTGTCATCTGGATCGACCAGTTGCAGGCGCTCGTTTTGACCAATTGTACATGTTTTTTCCATAAGCATAGCGAGGTCGCCCATAGGAAGTTGTTCAGGTTGATCGCTAACAGCGTCGTCCTCGGCGTAGTCTATGGTGTATTGTTCATCCGTCAACAACGAAAAAATCCATTGTGAAGGAAGTTCAAATCGTACACGCAACTGACATCCTCGGATCAAATTTGACCGCAAAGTCAACAAACCAACACTTGTGATGTTTAAATTAAACTGTGGTTTGAGGTATACGTGCTTATACCGTATGAGAAGTCACGGGACCCCCACCACATAACTGAGAAAGCTCGAATCATCCGACGATACCATTAAAGGATTAATTTCTATATTCTTAAACGAATCTATAAAATCAAAGTGGCTGGGTTTCAATTTACATAGCTCTTTGTATGGTCTTGTTTGCTGATCAACATTATATGCTTTCTAGACATGTTCAAGCTGTGCAGCTTCTTCACTTTCATATTAATGTCAATAAGAGCATTTCATCCATTTTTGAATAAATGTGGTTCATCACAAATTGTAGAAATACTCTGAGCATTGACTATAAAATGGAATGGACTTGATCCGTGAGTATTCTCCGAGCAAATCGTCTCAAGTGCGTTTTTGATCGTTGCGCCCTGATTACAAATAGTGCCAACGACGCACAAACCAAGTCGCTGCAAGTTTGTGATCACATGAACAATAATCGTTTTCAGATCTGGGATTCTTGTATCTTTTACTAGATAATAAGCCACAACCTGCTTATAATTTTTACGAATCCCTCTTATCATGGAAGTAAGGGCATGATTTCTGATAAATCACTTTTACAGAGTTCTAGTTGATTTTGTTACCTCAGAATTCAAGATTTATTAGCTGAAAATTGTACACTGTGAGCGGTTACCAAGACTAGATTCACAATCTTAAGTCCTAGGTGCTATCGTGGTGCGTGGGATCAGCCCTAAACTTTGTCCAAACCCTGCAATAATCGTAAACACTAAACAAGGGTAGACATATTTCTAGTTTAACTGCCTGAAGATTTTCTCTATGGTTTATACGTAACCTCCATCTATTATCTCATTTTTGTACATGTTCTGGGAGAACTCAACTTGCTCCCTATAAAATGCAACGTCTTCCTGCACAGCTGGTTCTGGTTAAGTGCCAGCCTGCTTCGGGTTTGTAATTAGTTGTTGCAATTTACCGATTTCGTCGTTATTTTTCATAATCCAGATTTCGTTTTGGCATTCCAGTTCAGCCATTTGATCCTGAAGCTCTTTTATAGTAGAATCATTATGGCATCGTATATCTGAGATTTTAAATGAGTGGTTGACCTCACGTTGGTTACTCTCGTCCATCAGACTCTTTACGTCATTTCTCAGTTTAGATTCAAGTTCTTTTAGGAAGCCAATTTCATCTTGCAGTTCATGCAATGTGTGACATCGTTACATCAGTTTGTGTAGCAGCACTTAAAGAATCTTGCATATCTTCGTACTCAGCGTCAAGCATAGCTTCTAAGTCTGCAACCTTCTTTTTTGACTCAATATTTTGAGCTTCAAGAGATAGTTTAGGGCTCTCTGATCTTCCTAGGTTCTTCAGTTGAGTACGCAGCATCTCTATTTCTGACTCGTACGTTTTTAGTCTTTTTATAATGTTTTTCCAGAAAATCGAGTCTGTATTGCAAGTCGATGAAATTCTTGCGCTTTTTGAGAATTTTTTTGAACCCTTTCTATTTCTTCATTGTACGCATCCGTTACTTGGCGGAGTTCCTGACTGTAACGATCGATTTTAGAATTGGCTTCTGTGAGCTGTTTCTTCAGGTCCAAAATCTCCAGCTGATTATCTAGTTTAGTGAATTCTCTGAGCTCATTGAAAGATTCTTCCAGTTCTTTGAGTTGTCTTTTAAGTACACTTGCAGGCACGTCTTCAGCTATCACAGATTCTGCTTCGGCTAGTGCCTCCTCATATGTCTCTTCTTGAATAGGCCTCATTTCACGTCCGGATGATTCTTCTTCGGGTGGATAATTTTTCAATGGCATATACCGTAGGATGCTTTTTTAGGTGATACGTTGCCATAGTCTCCAAAAGTATGACGTCTTAATGTTTTTTTCGGTGTTGATGCCGAGGCTCCCATTTGAAAGCGCCCGACAATAGATACTTCCGTTTTTAGTCTTTCTATCTCGAGCAGATACTCTTGTTTGCTTTTCTCCATCTCTTCTAGCTTAATTGCCTGCTTTTTGAGCCGAGTTTCGAGATCGCGAGTCAAGTTCTGATATCCTTGAAGTGACTCTTCTGTAGCTGACAAGATGTTTACTTTCGGTTTATTTTTGACAGTTTTAGTGCTTTGGGCGAATTCTAGTGTAGATCTAGTCTCCTCCTCTGCAGCTAAAGTAACATTCCCGATAATCAATGATTTGGCATTACCGCCAAGAGCCTGTGAGAGCAGTCTAGTCAATTTCGAATCGCGATAACTGATAAACTCCTTCCCCTCGCTTAGTTGCCTTATCACATTTCCTAATACTGACAAAGATTTGTTTATGTTAGCCCCCTCTTTAAGATGCTCACCAGCAGCTTTCGTCAGAGAAACTCTCTCAGAACCAGCTAAGTCCATTAAGTTAAGGTAGCTTATATGTACAGGTCCATCTTTCTGATTGGCATCTTTCGACTCCAGAATAATCCGGAAAATCGTGTGTGATCGAGATGACCTCTCATTCATGCGAGTAGCTGCAACTCGTCTGATCTTATTGCCCTGCATCATGTTCTCCATAACTTGATCAACATTGTCTACGACAGCTTCCCTTGCATCAAGCAGCACATTTCCTTTGATATCTTCTCTTATAGTTAAACCCTGATTGCTCTTATCCAGGAGGTCATTGATCTTTTCATTGTAGATTTCAATATAACTGAATCTAATCAAGTACCTCTTATCAACCTGGTCTGCCACATGCTGGAATAACTGATTGGATACTAATTGGAAAAGCCCAGGATCTGTTTTATTGCCCAAAATGGTGTGTGTTTTGCCAGAAGATGTTTGGCCATATGCAAATATTGTTGCATTGAAACCTTCCATATACATCTGAATTTGTACATTCCTGGTTAAATACATTGTCGAATATATAAACCTCTCCATGGCGACTACTTTCATTGGCTTCCCATATGCAGTTTTCACTTACGTTCCAAAGACGCTCTAGACCATCGGCTACTTCGCGGTGGATCATTGGTCTGATCTTTATGGCTACTTTAATATTGTCGGAAGTCATTTTGGAAGCTTGAACTGAAATTTAATTAGGACTAGGGCTATTTCACGGGTTATAAAGAGGGGCAGATGTATCAGGTTGATACATTCTTTTTTTCCTCCTTTCCAGTATAGAAGATTTTTTTCTCTTGTAGGCTATGAATGCGGTCCGATAGTTTAGTAGAGCTACATTTACAGGGTGACTCAAATCAAAGAAGAAACAGAATTGTTAAATTTCTTATAGACTGTTATTGTTATTACAAAAAGAAGTTGAAGCAGCAGCAAATTCTCACAAATCTATAGATCCATCACTTTCAGCACCCGATTTTTCAACTTGAAAAATGCAGCTCGGTGAAGAATCACAAGGTAACTGTTGTCTATTCAGACAATACTCTTCTAAAAGCAACGCGAAGTTACCTAGTGCCTTACATGAATCGCATTCATAATTCTTCATTATTGTCGACTGGAAGACTGAAATTGTTGATTATTACAGTTTTTAATGCTGCAAATAAGCAGATGGGGTTCGTGTTGGAAATCCCACGTCTAATCTCGCAAAACAGGTTATCCACCGGATCTTACTATCAACTTCTGAAATGCCATTACTGTTTTAGCCATGTGTACAACAGGTTTGTACGCATAAAACACTCTTACACGAAAACTGTTTATTGTCTAAAAACGAAAATACCCCATTTGAAGATGAGTAATGTAATAAATATATAATTTACGAAACTTGAACTGTAATATGAACATAAAAAAACTAACATAATGGGCCATCTAACAACATATTTGGTGTTGATATTCTACAACAAAAACAAATACTTTCTTGTATAAGGAAACGTACAATAATTCACATTTATCACTTTTCACGAAACAATGTAGCTGCGCTGTGACTTTACATACTTATTACAGATTGTAGAACATTTTTTTCATTGTGTATTGTCATGTAACACCTACGTCGTTTTTTCCCTTTAACAACTGCATCAGGATCGAGAACTCTGGGCTGAGAAGTAGACGGCTTACTTTATTCGTCGTTGGTAATTTAGGATTCTTTGCATGGCTGAACGAAGCTCCCTAGGAAGTCTTGAATCTGATAAACGTCCTCTCATACGAAGTTAAATTAGAGTTTGCCTCAGGGGAACAATAAAATTTTGTCGCCTAATAGAACTTTCAGTCCAGACTGAAAAAAAAAAGGAATTTACAGAAGCTGGTTGGATACCAAATAGCACAAGGCCATCTTCTCGTTCTCTAACCAGTATTGTAATTTACACACTTCCGATCTAATGCATTACCCCCCGCCTTCATAGTGTTATAAAAATAATATAGAATCTTATCAGGTTTCTTTGATTCCTCTACTATTTTGTTATCATGCTGCATAGATTGCCATACGAGAACATGTGTATTTGGTTTTGGAAGATACTACACTAAGGCTGTAGTGCTAGTGAACATAAACTTAGAAGTACCTGGCTGTGTTTCCTTCTTATTTGGAACTACATGTTGGGGTACTTGTTACTTATTTTTACGCTTCCTGCCGACATAGGTCAGTTGGTTGATGCGCAATTCTACATGTAATTCTACTGACGTGAACCAGTCATCTGGTGTGATATTTCTGTTCGTATAGACGAAAGCATTGAGCAGGTAGTGGTGAGTCTTTGCATCATCAGTCCATACTAACTTATTCGGTTTAGTTTTCTTGTAGGCACAGGAAGGACATCGGCCCACGAGCATCTCGTATTTTGTAGGGGACTCACCCGAAATATAACAATTTCGACAGTTCTCTATGAGTGTTAATTTATCTGCATTTCTCGAGTCACAGGGTTATTATTTTCCAAATTGGTTGCCACGGACTTTAGTTCAGGTAAATGCGTAATAATATTGTCGTCTGGATCGACCATTTGCAGGCGCTCGTTTTGACCAATTGTACATGTTTTTTCCATAAGCATAGCGAGGTCGCCCATAGGAAGTTGTTCAGGTTGATCGATAACAGCGTCGTCCTCGGCGTAGTCTATGGTGTATTGTTCATCCGTCAACAACGAAAAAATCCATTGTGAAGGAAGTTCAAATCGTACACGCAACTGACATCCTCGGATCAAATTTGACCGCAAAGTCAACAAACCAACACTTGTGATGTTTAAATTAAACTGTGGTTTGAGGTATACGTGCTTATACCGTATGAGAAGTCACGGGACCCCCACCACATAACTGAGAAAGCTCGAATCATCCGACGATACCATTAAAGGATTAATTTCTATATTCTTGAACGAATAGCTCTTTGTATGGTCTTGTTTGCTGATCAACATTATATGCTTTCTAGACATGTTCAATCTGTGCAGCTTCTTCACTTTCATATTAATGTCAATGAGAGCATTTCATCCATTTTTGAATAAATGTGGTTCATCACAAATTGTAGAAATACTCTGAGCATTGACTATAAAATGGAATGGACTTGATCCGCCAGTATTCTCCGAGCAAATCGTCTCAAGTGCGTTTTTGATCGTTGCGCCCTGATTAGAAATAGTGCCAACGACGCACAAACCAAGTCGCTGCAAGTTTGTGATCACATGAACAATAATCGTTTTCAGATCTGGGATTCTTGTATCTTTTACTAGATAATAAGCCACAACCTGCTTATAATTTTTACGAATTCCTCTTATCATGGAAGTAAGGGCATGATTTTTGATAAATCACTTTTACAGAGTTCTAGTTGATTTTGTTACCTCAGAATTCAAGATTTATTAGCTGAAAATTGTACACTGTGAGCGGTTACCAAGACTAGATTCACAATCTTAAGTCCTAGGTGCTATCGTGGTCCGTGGGATCAGCCCTAAACTTTGTCCAAACCCTGCAATAATCGTAAACACTAAACAAGGGTAGACATATTTCTAGTTTAACTGCCTGAAGATTTTCTCTATGGTTTATACGTAACTCTCCACCTATTATCTCATTTTTGTACATGTTCTGGGAGAACTCAACTTGCGCCCTATAAAATGCAACGTCTTCCTGCACAGGTGGTTCTGGTTAAGTGCCAGCCTGCTTCGGGTTTGTAATTAGTTGTTGCAATTTACTGATTTCGTCGTCATTTTTCATAATCCAGATTTCGTTTTGGCATTCCAGTTCAGCCATTTGATCCTGAAGCTCTTTTATAATAGAACCATTATGGCATCGTATATCTGAGATTTTAAATGAGTGGTTGACCTCACGTTGGTTACTCTCGTCCATCAGACTCTTTATGTCATTTCTCAGTTTAGATTCAAGTTCTTTTAGGAAGCCAATTTCATCTTGCAGTTCAGCAATGTGTGACATCGTTACAGCAGTTTGTGTAGCAGCACTTAAAGAATCTTGCATATCTTCGTACTCAGCGTCAAGCATAGCTTCTAAGTCTGCAACCTTCTTTTTTGCTCAATATTTTGAGCTTCAAGAGATAGTTTAGGGCTCTCTGATCTTCCTATGTTCTTCAGTTGAGTACGCAGCATCTCTATTTCTGACTCGTATGTTTTTAGTCTTTTTATAATTTTTTTCCAGAAAATCGAGTCTGTATTGCAAGTCGATGAAATTCTTGCGCTTTTTGAGAATTTTTTTGAACCCTTTCTATTTCTTCATTGTGCGCATCCGTTACTTGGCAGAGTTTCTGACTGTAACGATTGATTTTAGAATTGGCTTCTGTGAGCTGTTTCTTCAGGTCCAAAATCTCCAGCTGATTATCTAGTTTAGTGAATTCTCTAAGCTCATTGAAAGATTCTTCCAGTTCTTTGAGTTGTCTTTTAAGTACACTTGCAGGCACGTCTTCAGCTATCACAGATACTGCTTCGGCTAGTGCCTCCTCATATGTCTCTTCTTGAATAGGCCTCATTTCACGTCCGGATGATTCTTCTTTGGGTGGATAATTTTTCAATGGCATATACCCTTGTGATGCTTTTTTAGGTGATACGTTGCCATAGTCTCCAAAAGTATGACGTCTTAATATTTTTTTCGGTGTTGATGCCGAGGCTCCCATTTGAAAGCGCCCGACAATAGATACTTCCGTCTTTAGTCTTTCTATCTCGAGCAGATACTCTTGTTTGCTTTTCTCCATCTCTTCTAGCTTAATTGCCTGCTTTTTGAGCCGAGTTTCGAGATCGCGAGTCAAGTTCTGATATCCTTGAAGTGCCTCTTCTGTAGCTGACAAGATGTTTACTTTCGGTTTATTTTTGACAGTTTTAGTGTTTTGGGCGAATTCTAGTGTAGATAGATCTAGTCTCCTCCTCTGCAGCTAAAGTAACATTCCCGATAATCAATGATTTTGCATTACCGCCAAGAGCCTGTGAGAGCAGTCTAGTCAATTTCGAATCGCGATAACTGATAAACTCCTTCCCCCCGCTTAGTTACCTTATCACATTTCCTAATACTGACAAAGATTTGTTTATGTTAGCCCCCTCTTCAAGACGCTCACCAGCAGCTTTCGTCAGAGAAACTCTCTCAGAACCAGCCAAGTCCATTAAGTTAAGGTAGCTTATATGTACAGGTCCATCTTTCTGATTGGCATCTTTCGACTCCAGAATAATCCGGAAAATCGTGTGTGATCGAGATGACCTCTCATTCATGCGAGTAGCTGCAACTCGTCTGATCTTATTGCCCTGCATCATGTTCTCCATAACTTGATCAACATTGTCTACGACAGCTTCCCTTGCATCAAGCAGCACATTACGTTTGATATCTTCTCTTATAGTTAAACCCTGATTGCTCTTATCCAGGAGGTCATTGATCTTTTCATTGTAGATTTCAATATAACTGAATCTAATCAAGTACCTCTTATCAACCTGGTCTGCCACATGCTGGAATAACTGATTGGATACTAATTGGAAAAGCCCAGGATCTGTTTTATTGCCCAAAAGGTGTGTGTTTTGCCAGAAGATGTTTGGCCATATGCAAATATTGTTGCATTGAAACCTTCCATGAAGGAATCGACTAAAGGTTTTACTACAGATCCATATACATCTGAATTTGTACATTCCTGGTTAAATACATTGTCGAATATATAAACCTCTCCATGGCGACTACTTTCATTGGCTTCCCATATGCAGTTTTCACTTACGTTCCAAAGACGCTCTAGACCATCGGCTACTTCGCGGTGGATCATTGGTCTGATCTTTATGGCTACTTTAATATTGTCGGAAGTCATTTTGGAAGCTTGAACTGAAATTTAATTAGGACTAGGGCTTTTTCACGGGTTATAAAGAGGGGCAGATGTATCAGGTTGATACATTCTTTTTTTCCTCCTTTCCAGTATAGAAGATTTTTTTCTCTTGTAGGCTATGAATGCGGTCCGATAGTTTAGTAGAGCTACATTTACAGGGTGACTCAAAATCAAAGAAGAAACAGAATTGTTAAATTTCTTATAGACTGTTATTGTTATTACAAAAAGAAGTTGAAGCAGCAGCAAATTCTCACAAATCTATAGATCCATCACTTCCAGCACCCGATTTTTCAACTTGAAAAATGCAGCTCGGTGAAGAATCACAAGGTAACTGTTGTCTATTCAGACAATACTCTTCTAAAAGCAACGCGAAGTTACCTAGTGCCTTACATGAATCGCCTTCATAATTCTTCATTATTGTCAATGGAAAACTGAAATTGTTGGTTATTACAGTTTTTAATGCTGCAAATAAGCAGATGGGGTTCGTGTTGGAAATCCCACGTCTAATCTCGCAAAACAGGTTATCCACCGGATCTTACTATCAACTTCTGAAATGCCATTACTGTTTTTAGCAATGTGTACAACAGGTTTGTACGCATAAGACACTCTTACATGAAAACTGTTTATTGTCTAAAAACGAAAATACCCCATTTGAAGATGAGTAATGCAATAAATATAATTTACGAAACTTGAACTGTAATATGAACATAAAAAAACTAACAAAATGGGCCATTTAACACATATTTGGTGTTGATATTCTACAACAAAAGAAATACTTTCCCGTATAAGGAAACGTACAATAATTCACATTTATCACTTTTCACGAAACAATCTAGCTGCGCTGTGACTTTACATACTTATTACAGATTGTAGAACATTTTTTTCATTGTGTATTGTCATGTAACACCTACGTCGTTTTTTCCCTTTAACAACTGCATCAGGATCGAGAACTCTGGGCTGAGAAGTAGACGGCTTACTTTATTCATCGTTGGTAATTTAGGATTCTTTGCATGGCTGAACGAAGCTCCCTAGGACGTCTTGGATCTGATAAACGTCCTCTCATACGAAGTTAAATTAGAGTTTGCCTCAGGGGAACAATAAAATTTCGTCGCCTAATAGAACTTTCAGTCCCAGACTGAAAAAAAAGGAATTTACAGAAGCTGGTTGGATACCAAATAGCACAAGGCCATCTTCTCGTTCTCTAACCAGTATTGTAATTTACACACTTCCGATCTAATGCATTACCCCCCGCCTTCATAGTGTTATAAAAATAATATAGAATCTTATCAGGTTTCTTTGATTCGTCTACTATTTTGTTATCATGCTGCATAGATTGCTATACGAGAACATGTGTATTTGGTTTTGGAAGATACTACACTAAGGCTGTAGTGCTAGTGAACATAAACTTAGAAGTACCTGGCTGTGTTTCCTTCTTATTTGGAACTACATGTTGGGGTACTTGTTACTTATTTTTACGCTTCCTGCCGACATAGGTCAGTTGGTTGATGCGCAATTCTACATGTAATTCTACTGACGTGAACCAGTCATCTGCTGTGATATTTCTGTTCGTATAGACGAAAGCATTGAGCAGGTAGTGGTGAGTCTTTGCATCATCAGTCCATACTTATTCGGTTTAGTTTTCTTGTAGGCTCAGGAAGGACATCGGCCCACGAGCATCTCGTATTTTGTAGGGGACTCACCCGAAATATAACAATTTCGACAGTTCTCTATGAGTGTCTCGAAAATTTCACGTATTTGGAGAAATTTATCTGCATTTCTCGAGTCACAGGGTTATTATTTTCCAAATTGGTTGCCACGGACTTTAGTTCAGGTGAATGCGTAATAATATTGTCGTCTGGATCGACCAGTTGCAGGCGCTCGTTTTGACAAATTGTACATGTTTTTTCCATAAGCATAGCGAGGTCGCCCATAGGAAGTTGTTCAGGTTGATCGATAACAGCGTCGTCCTCGGCGTAGTCTATGGTGTATTGTTCATCCGTCAACAACGAAAAAATCCATTGTGAAGGAAGTTCAAATCGTACATGCAACTGACATCCTCGGATCAAATTTGACCGCAAAGTCAACAAACCAACACTTGTGATGTTTAAATTAAACTGTGGTTTGAGGTATACGTGCTTATACCGTATGAGAAGTCACGGGACCCCCACCACATAACTGAGAAAGCTCGAATCATCCGACGATACCATTAAAGGATTAATTTCTATATTCTTGAACGAATCTATAAAATCAAAGTGGCTGGGTTTCAATTTACATAGCTCTTTGTATGGTCTTGTTTGCTGATCAACATTATATGATTTCTAGACATGTTCAATCTGTGCAGCTTCTTCACTTTCATATTAATGTCAATAAGAGCATTTCATCCATTTTTGAATAAATGTGGTTCATCACAAATTGTAGAAATACTCTGAGCATTGACTATAAAATGGAATGGACTTGATCCGTGAGTATTCTCCGAGCAAATCGTCTCAAGTGCGTTTTTGATCGTTGCGCCCTGATTAGAAATAGTGCCAACAACGCACAAACCAAGTCGCTGCTAGTTTGTGATCACATGAACAATAATCGTTTTCAGATCTGGGATTCTTGTATCTTTTACTAGATAATAAGCCACAACCTGCTTATAATTTTTACGAATCCCTCTTATCATGGAAGTAAGGGCATGATTTCTGATAAATCACTTTTTCAGAGTTCTAGTTGATTTTGTTACCTCAGAATTCAAGATTTATTAGCTGAAAATTGTACACTGTGAGCACTGGGATCAGCCCTAAACTTTGTCCAAACCCTGCAATAATCGTAAACACTAAACAAGGGTAGACATATTTCTAGTTTAACTGCCTGAAGATTTTCTCTATGGTTTATACGTAACTCTCCACCTATTATCTCATTTTTGTACATATTCTGGGAGAACTCAACTTGCTCCCTATAAAATGCAACGTCTTCCTGCACAGGTGGTTCTGGTTAAGTGCCAGCCTGCTTCGGGTTTGTAATTAGTTGTTGCAATTTTCTGATTTCGTCGTCCTTTTTCATAATCCAGATTTCGTTTTGGCATTCCAGTTCAGCCATTTGATCCTGAAGCTCTTTTATAGTAGAATCATTATGGCATCGTGTATCTGAGATTTTAAATGAGTGGTTGACCTCACGTTGGTTACTCTCGTCCATCAGACTCTTTACGTCATTTCTCAGTTTAGATTCAAGTTCTTTTAGGAAGCCAATTTCATCTTGCAGTTCAGCAATGTGTGACATCGTTACATCAGTTTGTGCAGCAGCACTTAAAGAATGTTGCATATCTTCGTACTCAGCGTCAAGCATAGCTTCTAAGTCTGCAACCTTCTTTTTTGACTCAATATTTTGAGCTTCAAGAGATGGTTTAGGGCTCTCTGATCTTCCTAGGTTCTTCAGTTGAGTACGCAGCATCTCTATTTCTGACTCGTATGTTTTAGTCTTTTTATTATTTTTTTCCAGAAAATCGAGTCTGTATTGCAAGTCGATGAAATTCTTGCGCTTTTTGAGAATTTTTTTGAACTCTTTCTATTTCTTCGTTGTACGCATCCGTTACTTGGCGGAGTTCCTGACTGTAACGATCGAATTTAGAATTGGCTTCTGTGAGCTGTTTCTTCAGGTCCAAAATCTCCAGCTGATTATCTAGTTTAGTGAATTCTCTAAGCTCATTGAAAGATTCTCCAGTTCTTTGAGTTGTCTTTTAAGTACACTTGCACGTCTTCAGCTATCACAGATTCTGCTTCGGCTAGTGCCTCCTCATATGTCTCTTCTTGAATAGGCCTCATTTCACGTCCGGATGATTCTTCTTTGGGTGGATAATTTTTCAATGGCATATACCCTAGGGATGCTTTTTTAGGTGATACGTTGCCATAGTGTCCAAAAGTATGACGTCTTAATGTTTTTTTCGGTGTTGATGCCGAGGCTCCCATTTGAAAGCGCCCGACAATAGATACTTCCGTTTTTAGTCTTTCTATCTCGAGCAGATACTCTTGTTTGCTTTTATCCATCTCTTTTAGCTTAATTGCCTGCTTTTTGAGCCGAGTTTCGAGATCGCGAGTCAAGTTCTGATATCCTTGAAGTGTCTCTTCTGTAGCTGACAAGATGTTTACTTTCGTTTTATTTTTGACAGTTTTAGTGCTTTGGGCGAATTCTGGTGTAGATCTAGTCTCCTCCTCTGCAGCTAAAGTAACATTCCCGATAATCAATGATTTGGCATTACCGCCAAGAGCCTGTGAGAGCAGTCTAGTCAATTTCGAATCGCGATAACTGATAAACTCCTTCCCCTCGCTTAGTTGCCTTATCACATTTCCTAATACTGACAAAGATTTGTTTATGTTAGCCCCCTCTTTAAGACGCTCACCAGCAGCTTTCGTCAGAGAAACTCTCTCAGAACCAGCTAAGTCCATTAAGTTAAGGTAGCTTATATGTACAGGTCCATCTTTCTGATTGGCATCTTTCGACTCCAGAATAATCCGGAAAATCGTGTGTGATCGAGATGACCTCTCATTCATGCGAGTAGCTGCAACTCGTCTGATCTTATTGCCCTGCATCATGTTCTCCATAACTTTATCAACATTGTCTACGACAGCTTCCCTTGCATCAAGCAGCACATTTCCTTTGATATCTTCTCTTATAGTTAAACCCTGATTGCTCTTATCCAGGAGGTCATTGATCTTTTCATTGTAGATTTCAATATAACTGCATCTAATCAAGTACCTCTTATCAACCTGGTCTGCCACATGCTGGAATAACTGATTGGATACTAATTGGAAAAGCCCAGGATCTGTTTTATTGCCCAAAATGGTGTGTGTTTTGCCAGAAGATGTTTGGCCATATGCAAATATTGTGGCATTGAAACCTTCCATGAAGGAATCGACTAAAGGTTTTACTACAGATCCATATACATCTGAATTTGTACATTCCTGCTTAAATACATGGTCGAATATATAAACCTCTCCATGGCGACTACTTTCATCGGCTTCCCATATGCAGTTTACTCTTACGTTCCAAAGACGCTCTAGACCATCGGCTACTTCGCGGTGGATCATTGGTCTGATCTTTGTGGCTACTTTAATATTGTCGGAAGTCATTTTGGAAGCTTGAACTGAAATTTAATTAGAACTAGGGCTATTTCACGGGTTATAAAGAGGGGCACTTTTCATAATCCAGATTTCGTTTTGGCATTCCAGTTCAGCCATTTGATCCTGAAGCTCTTTTATAGTAGAATCATTATGGCATCGTATATCTGAGATTTTAAATGAGTGGTTGACCTCACGTTGGTTACTCTCGTCCATCAGACTCTTTACGTCATTTCTCAGTTTAGATTCAAGTTCTTTTAGGAAGCCAATTTCATCTTGCAGTTCAGCAATGTGTGACATCGTTACATCAGTTTGTGTAGCAGCACTTAAAGAATCTTGCATATCTTCGTACTCAGCGTCAAGCATAGCTTCTAAGTCTGCAACCTTCTTTTTTGACTCAATATTTTGAGCTTCAAGAGATGGTTTAGGGCTCTCTGATCTTCCTAGGTTCTTCAGTTGAGTACGCAGCATCTCTATTTCTGACTCGTATGTTTTTAGTCTTTTTATTATTTTTTTCCAGAAAATCGAGTCTGTATTGCAAGTCGATGAAATTCTTGCGCTTTTTGAGAATTTTTTTGAACTCTTTCTATTTCTTCGTTGTACGCATCCGTTACTTGGCGGAGTTCCTGACTGTAACGATCGATTTTAGAATTGGCTTCTGTGAGCTGTTTCTTCAGGTCCAAAATCTCCAGCTGATTATCTAGTTTAGTGAATTCTCTAAGCTCATTGAAAGATTCTTCCAGTTCTTTGCGTTGTCTTTTAAGTACACTTGCACGTCTTCAGCTATCACAGATTCTGCTTCGGCTAGTGCCTCCTCATATGTCTCTTCTTGAATAGGCCTCATTTCACGTCCGGATGATTCTTCTTTGGGTGGATAATTTTTCAATGGCATATACCCTAGGGATGCTTTTTTAGGTGATACGTTGCCATAGTGTCCAAAAGTATGACGTCTTAATGTTTTTTTCGGTGTTGATGCCGAGGCTCCCATTTGAAAGCGCCCGACAATAGATACTTCCGTTTTTAGTCTTTCTATCTCGAGCAGATACTCTTGTTTGCTTTTATCCATCTCTTTTAGCTTAATTGCCTGCTTTTTGAGCCGAGTTTCGAGATCGCGAGTCAAGTTCTGATATCCTTGAAGTGTCTCTTCTGTAGCTGACAAGATGTTTACTTTCGTTTTATTTTTGACAGTTTTAGTGCTTTGGGCGAATTCTGGTGTAGATCTAGTCTCCTCCTCTGCAGCTAAAGTAACATTCCCGATAATCAATGATTTGGCATTACCGCCAAGAGCCTGTGAGAGCAGTCTAGTCAATTTCGAATCGCGATAACTGATAAACTCCTTCCCCTCGCTTAGTTGCCTTATCACATTTCCTAATACTGACAAAGATTTGTTTATGTTAGCCCCCTCTTTAAGACGCTCACCAGCAGCTTTCGTCAGAGAAACTCTCTCAGAACCAGCTAAGTCCATTAAGTTAAGGTAGCTTATATGTACAGGTCCATCTTTCTGATTGGCATCTTTCGACTCCAGAATAATCCGGAAAATCGTGTGTGATCGAGATGACCTCTCATTCATGCGAGTAGCTGCAACTCGTCTGATCTTATTGCCCTGCATCATGTTCTCCATAACTTTATCAACATTGTCTACGACAGCTTCCCTTGCATCAAGCAGCACATTTCCTTTGATATCTTCTCATAGTTAAACCCTGATTGCTCTTATCCAGGAGGTCATTGATCTTTTCATTGTAGATTTCAATATAACTGCATCTAATCAAGTACCTCTTATCAACCTGGTCTGCCACATGCTGGAATAACTGATTGGATACTAATTGGAAAAGCCCAGGATCTGTTTTATTGCCCAAAATGGTGTGTGTTTTGCCAGAAGATGTTTGGCCATATGCAAATATTGTGGCATTGAAACCTTCCATGAAGGAATCGACTAAAGGTTTTACTACAGATCCATATACATCTGAATTTGTACATTCCTGATTAAATACATGGTCGAATATATAAACCTCTCCATGGCGACTACTTTCATCGGCTTCCCATATGCAGTTTACTCTTACGTTCCAAAGACGCTCTAGACCATCGGCTACTTCGCGGTGGATCATTGGTCTGATCTTTGTGGCTACTTTAATATTGTTGGAAGTCATTTTGGAAGCTTGAACTGAAATTTAATTAGAACTAGGGCTATTTCACGGGTTATAAAGAGGGGCAGATGTATCAGGTTGATACATTCTTTTTTTCCTCCTTTCCAGTATAGAAGATTTTTTTCTCTTGTAGGCTATGAATGCGGTCCGATAGTTTAGTAGAGCTACATTTACAGGGTGACTCAAAATCAAAGAAGAAACAGAATTGTTAAATTTCATATAGACTGTTATTGTTATTACAAAAAGAAGTTGAAGCAGCAGCAAATTCTCACAAATCTATAGATCCATCACTTTCAGCACCCGATTTTTCAACTTGAAAAATGCAGCTCGGTGAAGAATCACAAGGTAACTGTTGTCTATTCAGACAATACTCTTCTAAAAGCAACGCGAAGTTACCTAGTGCCTTACATGAATCGCCTTCATAATTCTTCATTATTGTCAATGGAAAACTGAAATTGTTGATTATTACAGTTTTTAATGCTTCAAATAAACAGATGGTGTTCGTGTTGGAAATCCCACGTCTAATCTCGCAAAACAGGTTATCCACCGGATCTTACTATCAACATCTGAAATGCCATTACTGTTTTTAGCCATGTGTACAACAGGTTTGTACGCATAAGACACTCTTACATGAAAACTGTTTATTGTCTAAAAACGAAAATACCCCATTGAAGATGAGTAATGCAATAAATATAATCCTCGAAACTTGAACTGTAATATGAACATAAAAAAACTAACAAAATGGGCCATTTAACAACATATTTGGTGTTGATATTCTACAACAAAAACAAATACTTTCTCGTATAAGGAAACATACAATAATTAACATTTATCACTTTTCACGAAACAATGTAAGTGCGCTGTGACTTTACATACTTATTACAGATTGTAGAACATTTTTTTTCATTGTGTATTGTCATGTAACACCTACGTCGTTTTTTTTCTTTAACAACTGCATCAGGATCGAGAACTCTGGGCTGAGAAGTAGACGGCTTACTTTATTCGTCGTTGGTAATTTAGGATTCTTTGCATGGCTGAACGAAGCTCCCTAGGAAGTCTTGGATCTGATAAACGTCCTCTCATACGAAGTTAAATTAGAGTTTGCCTCAGGGGAACAATAAAATTTCGTCGCCTAATGGAACTTTCAGTCCCAGACTGAAAAAAAAAGGAATTTACAGAAGCTGGTTGGATACCAAATAGCACAAGGCCATCTTCTCGTTCTCTAACCAGTATTGTAATTTACACACTTCCGATCTAATGCATTACCCCCCGCCTTCATAGTGTTATAAAAATAATATAGGATCTTATCAGGTTTCTTTGATTCCTCTACTATTTTGTTATCATGCTGCATAGATTGCTATACGAGAACATGTGTATTTGGTTTTGGAAGATACTACTCTAAGGCTGTACAACATAAACTTAGAAGTACCTGGCTGTGTTTCCTTCTTATTTGGAACTACATGTTGGGGTACTTGTTACTTATTTTTACGCTTCCTGCCGACATAGGTCAGTTGGTTGATGCGCAATTCTACATGTAATTCTACTGACGTGAACCAGTCATCTGCTGTGATATTTCTGTTCGTATAGACGAAAGCATTGAGCAGGTAGTGGTGAGTCTTTGCATCATCAGTCCATACTTATTCGGTTTAGTTTTCTTGTAGGCACAGGAAGGACATCGGCCCACGAGCATCTCGTATTTTGTAGGGGACTCACCCGAAATATAACAATTTCGACAGTTCTCTATGAGTGTCTCGAAAATTTCACGTATTTGGAGAAATTTATCGGCATTTCTCGAGTCACAGGGTTATTATTTTCCAAATTGGTTGCCACGGACTTTAGTTCAGGTAAATGCGTAATAATCGACCAGTTGCAGGCGCTCGTTTTGACCAATTGTACATGTTTTTTCCATAGGCATAGCGAGGTCGCCCATAGGAAGTTGTTCAGGTTGATCGATAGCAGCGTCGTCCTCGGCGTAGTCTATAGTGTATTGTTCATCCGTCAACAACGAAAAAATCCATTGTGAAGGAAGTTCAAATCGTACACGCAACTGACATCCTCGGATCAAATTTGACCGCAAAGTCAACAAACCAACAATTGTGATGTTTAAATTAAACTGTGGTTTGAGGTATACGTGCTCATACCGTATGAGAAGTCACGGGACCCCCACCACATAACTGAGAAAGCTCGAATCATCCGACGATATCATTAAAGGATTAATTTCTATATTCTTGAACGAATCTATAAAATCAAAGTGGCTGGGTTTCAATTTACATAGCTCTTTGTATGGTCTTGTTTGCTGATCAACATTATATGATTTCTAGACATGTTCAATCTGTGCAGCTTCTTCACTTTCATATTAATGTCAATAAGAGCATTTCATCCATTTTTGAATAAATGTGGTTCATCACAAATTGTAGAAATACTCTGAGCATTGACTATAAAATGGAATGGACTTGATCCGTGAGTATTCTCCGAGCAAATCGTCTCAAGTGCGTTTTTGATCGTTGCGCCCTGATTAGAAATAGTGCCAACAACGCACAAACCAAGTCGCTGCTAGTTTGTGATCACATGAACAATAATCGTTTTCAGATCTGGGATTCTTGTATCTTTTACTAGATAATAAGCCACAACCTGCTTATAATTTTTACGAATCCCTCTTATCATGGAAGTAAGGGCATGATTTCTGATAAATCACTTTTTCAGAGTTCTAGTTGATTTTGTTACCTCAGAATTCAAGATTTATTAGCTGAAAATTGTACACTGTGAGCACTGGATCAGCCCTAAACTTTGTCCAAACCCTGCAATAATCGTAAACACTAAACAAGGGTAGACATATTTCTAGTTTAACTGCCTGAAGATTTTCTCTATGGTTTATACGTAACTCTCCACCTATTATCTCATTTTTGTACATGTTCTGGGAGAACTCAACTTGCTCCCTATAAAATGCAACGTCTTCCTGCACAGGTGGTTCTGGTTAAGTGCCAGCCTGCTTCGGGTTTGTAATTAGTTGTTGCAATTTTCTGATTTCGTCGTCCTTTTTCATAATCCAGATTTCGTTTTGGCATTCCAGTTCAGCCATTTGATCCTGAAGCTCTTTTATAGTAGAATCATTATGGCATCGTATATCTGAGATTTTAAATGAGTGGTTGACCTCACGTTGGTTACTCTCGTCCATCAGACTCTTTACGTCATTTCTCAGTTTAGATTCAAGTTCTTTTAGGAAGCCAATTTCATCTTGCAGTTCAGCAATGTGTGACATCGTTACATCAGTTTGTGCAGCAGCACTTAAAGAATGTTGCATATCTTCGTACTCAGCGTCAAGCATAGCTTCTAAGTCTGCAACCTTCTTTTTTGACTCAATATTTTGAGCTTCAAGAGATGGTTTAGGGCTCTCTGATCTTCCTAGGTTCTTCAGTTGAGTACGCAGCATCTCTATTTCTGACTCGTATGTTTTTAGTCTTTTTATTATTTTTTTCCAGAAATCGAGTCTGTATTGCAAGTCGATGAAATTCTTGCGCTTTTTGAGAATTTTTTTGAACTCTTTCTATTTCTTCGTTGTACGCATCCGTTACTTGGCGGAGTTCCTGACTGTAACGATCGAATTTAGAATTGGCTTCTGTGAGCTGTTTCTTCAGGTCCAAAATCTCCAGCTGATTATCTAGTTTAGTGAATTCTCTAAGCTCATTGAAAGATTCTTCCAGTTCTTTGAGTTGTCTTTTAAGTACACTTGCACGTCTTCAGCTATCACAGATTCTGCTTCGGCTAGTGCCTCCTCATATGTCTCTTCTTGAATAGGCCTCATTTCACGTCCGGATGATTCTTCTTTGGGTGGATAATTTTTCAATGGCATATACCCTAGGGATGCTTTTTTAGGTGATACGTTGCCATAGTGTCCAAAAGTATGACGTCTTAATGTTTTTTTCGGTGTTGATGCCGAGGCTCCCATTTGAAAGCGCCCGACAATAGATACTTCCGTTTTTAGTCTTTCTATCTCGAGCAGATACTCTTGTTTGCTTTTATCCATCTCTTTAGCTTAATTGCCTGCTTTTGAGCCGAGTTTCGAGATCGCGAGTCAAGTTCTGATATCCTTGAAGTGTCTCTTCTGTAGCTGACAAGATGTTTACTTTCGTTTTATTTTTGACAGTTTTAGTGCTTTGGGCGAATTCTGGTGTAGATCTAGTCTCCTCCTCTGCAGCTAAAGTAACATTCCCGATAATCAATGATTTGGCATTACCGCCAAGAGCCTGTGAGAGCAGTCTAGTCAATTTCGAATCGCGATAACTGATAAACTCCTTCCCCTCGCTTAGTTGCCTTATCACATTTCCTAATACTGACAAAGATTTGTTTATGTTAGCCCCCTCTTTAAGACGCTCACCAGCAGCTTTCGTCAGAGAAACTCTCTCAGAACCAGCTAAGTCCATTAAGTTAAGGTAGCTTATATGTACAGGTCCATCTTTCTGATTGGCATCTTTCGACTCCAGAATAATCCGGAAAATCGTGTGTGATCGAGATGACCTCTCATTCATGCGAGTAGCTGCAACTCGTCTGATCTTATTGCCCTGCATCATGTTCTCCATAACTTTAATCAACATTGTCTACGACAGCTTCCCTTGCATCAAGCAGCACATTTCCTTGATATCTTCTCATAGTTAAACCCTGATTGCTCTTATCCAGGAGGTCATTGATCTTTTCATTGTAGATTTCAATATAACTGCATCTAATCAAGTACCTCTTAAAACCTGTCTGCCACATGCTGGAATAATGATTGGATACTAATTGGGAAAAGCCCAGGATCTGTTTTATTGCCCAAAATGGTGTGTGTTTTGCCAGAAGATGTTGGCCATATGCAAATATTGTGGCATTGAAACCTTCCATGAAGGAATCGACTAAAGGTTTTACTACAGATCCATATACATCTGAATTTGTACATTCCTGATTAAATACATGGTCGAATATATAAACCTCTCCATGGCGACTACTTTCATCGGTTCCCATATGCAGTTTACTCTTACGTTCCAAAGACGCTCTAGACCATCGGCTACTTCGCGGTGGATCATTGGTCTGATCTTTGTGGCTACTTTAATATTGTTGGAAGTCATTTTGGAAGCTTGAACTGAAATTTAATTAGAACTAGGGCTATTTCACGGGTTATAAAGAGGGGCAGATGTATCAGGTTGATACATTCTTTTTTTCCTCCTTTCCAGTATAGAAGATTTTTTTCTCTTGTAGGCTATGAATGCGGTCCGATAGTTAGTAGAGCTACATTTACAGGGTGACTCAAAATCAAAGAAGAAACAGAATTGTTAAATTTCATATAGACCTGTTATTGTTATTACAAAAAGAAGTTGAAGCAGCAGCAAATTCTCACAAATCTATAGATCCATCACTTTCAGCACCCGATTTTTCAACTTGAAAAATGCAGCTCGGTGAAGAATCACAAGGTAACTGTTGTCTATTCAGACAATACTCTTCTAAAAGCAACGCGAAGTTACCTAGTGCCTTACATGAATCGCCTTCATAATTCTTCATTATTGTCAATGGAAAACTGAAATTGTTGATTATTACAGTTTTTAATGCTTCAAATAAACAGATGGTGTTCGTGTTGGAAATCCCACGTCTAATCTCGCAAAACAGGTTATCCACCGGATCTTACTATCAACATCTGAAATGCCATTACTGTTTTTAGCCATGTGTACAACAGGTTTGTACGCATAAGACACTCTTACATGAAAACTGTTTATGTCTAAAAACGAAAATACCCCATTGAAGATGAGTAATGCAATAAATATAATCCTCGAAACTTGAACTGTAATATGAACATAAAAAAACTAACAAATGGGCCATTTAACAACATATTTGGTGTTGATATTCTACAACAAAAACAAATACTTTCTCGTATAAGGAAACATACAATAATTAACATTTATCACTTTCACGAAACAATGTAAGTGCGCTGTGACTTTACATACTTATTACAGATTGTAGAACATTTTTTTCATTGTGTATTGTCATGTAACACCTACGTCGTTTTTTTTCTTTAACAACTGCATCAGGATCGAGAACTCTGGGCTGAGAAGTAGACGGCTTACTTTATTCGTCGTTGGTAATTTAGGATTCTTTGCATGGCTGAACGAAGCTCCCTAGGAAGTCTTGGGATCTGATAAACGTCCTCTCATACGAAGTTAAATTAGAGTTTGCCTCAGGGGAACAATAAAATTTCGTCGCCTAATGGAACTTTCAGTCCCAGACTGAAAAAAAAAGGAATTTACAGAAGCTGGTTGGATACCAAATAGCACAAGGCCATCTTCTCGTTCTCTAACCAGTATTGTAATTTACACACTTCCGATCTAATGCATTACCCCCCGCCTTCATAGTGTTATAAAAATAATATAGGATCTTATCAGGTTTCTTGATTCCTCTACTATTTTGTTATCATGCTGCATAGATTGCTATACGAGAACATGTGTATTTGGTTTTTGGAAGATACTACTCTAAGGCTGTACACATAAACTTAGAAGTACCTGGCTGTGTTTCCTTCTTATTTGGAACTACATGTTGGGGTACTTGTTACTTATTTTTACGCTTCCTGCCGACATAGGTCAGTTGGTTGATGCGCAATTCTACATGTAATTCTACTGACGTGAAACCAGTCATCTGCTGTGATATTTCTGTTCGTATAGACGAAAGCATTGAGCAGGTAGTGGTGAGTCTTTGCATCATCAGTCCATACTTATTCGGTTTAGTTTTCTTGTAGGCACAGGAAGGACATCGGCCCACGAGCATCTCGTATTTTGTAGGGGACTCACCCGAAATATAACAATTTCGACAGTTCTCCATGAGTGTCTCGAAATTTCACGTATTTGGAGAAATTTATCGGCATTTCTCGAGTCACAGGGTTATTATTTTCCAAATTGGTTGCCACGGACTTTAGTTCAGGTAAATGCGTAATAATCGACCAGTTGCAGGCGCTCGTTTTGACCAATTGTACATGTTTTTTCCATAGGCATAGCGAGGTCGCCCATAGGAAGTTGTTCAGGTTGATCGATAGCAGCGTCGTCCTCGGCGTAGTCTATAGTGTATTGTTCATCCGTCAACAACGAAAAAATCCATTGTGAAGGAAGTTCAAATCGTACACGCAACTGACATCCTCGGATCAAATTGACCGCAAAGTCAACAAACCAACAATTGTGATGTTTAAATTAAACTGTGGTTTGAGGTATACGTGCTCATACCGTATGAGAAGTCACGGGACCCCCACCACATAACTGAGAAAGCTCGAATCATCCGACGATATCATTAAAGGATTAATTTCTATATTCTTGAACGAATCTATAAAATCAAAGTGGCTGGGTTTCAATTTACATAGCTCTTGTATGGTCTTGTTTGCTGATCAACATTATATGATTTCTAGACATGTTCAATCTGTGCAGCTTCTTCACTTTCATATTAATGTCAATAAGAGCATTTCATCCATTTTTGAATAAATGTGGTTCATCACAAATTGTAGAAATACTCTGAGCATTGACTATAAAATGGAATGGACTTGATCCGTGAGTATTCTCCGAGCAAATCGTCTCAAGTGCGTTTTTGATCGTTGCGCCCTGATTAGAAATAGTGCCAACAACGCACAAACCAAGTCGCTGCTAGTTTGTGATCACATGAACAATAATCGTTTTCAGATCTGGGATTCTTGTATCTTTTACTAGATAATAAGCCACAACCTGCTTATAATTTTTTACGAATCCCTCTTATCATGGAAGTAAGGGCATGATTTCTGATAAATCACTTTTTCAGAGTTCTAGTGATTTTGTTACCTCAGAATTCAAGATTTATTAGCTGAAAATTGTACACTGTGAGCACTGGGATCAGCCCTAAACTTTGTCCAAACCCTGCAATAATCGTAAACACTAAACAAGGGTAGACATATTCTAGTTTAACTGCCTGAAGATTTTCTCTATGGTTTTATACGTAACTCTCCACCTATTATCTCATTTTTGTACATGTTCTGGGAGAACTCAACTTGCTCCCTATAAAATGCAACGTCTTCCTGCACAGGTGGTTCTGGTTAAGTGCCAGCCTGCTTCGGGTTTGTAATTAGTTGTTGCAATTTTCTGATTTCGTCGTCCTTTTTCATAATCCAGATTTCGTTTTGGCATTCCAGTTCAGCCATTTGATCCTGAAGCTCTTTTATAGTAGAATCATTATGGCATCGTATATCTGAGATTTTAATGAGTGGTTGACCTCACGTTGGTTACTCTCGTCCATCAGACTCTTTACGTCATTTCTCAGTTTAGATTCAAGTTCTTTTAGGAAGCCAATTTCATCTGCAGTTCAGCAATGTGTGACATCGTTACATCAGTTTGTGCAGCAGCACTTAAAGAATGTTGCATATCTTCGTACTCAGCGTCAAGCATAGCTTCTAAGTCTGCAACCTTCTTTTTGACTCAATATTTGAGCTTCAGAGATGGTTTAGGGCTCTCTGATCTTCCTAGGTTCTTCAGTTGAGTACGCAGCATCTCTATTTCTGACTCGTATGTTTTTAGTCTTTTTATTATTTTTTTCCAGAAAATCGAGTCTGTATTGCAAGTCGATGAAATTCTTGCGCTTTTTGAGAATTTTTTTGACTCTTTCTATTTCTTCGTTGTACGCATCCGTTACTTGGCGGAGAGTTCCTGACTGTAACGATCGAATTTAGAATTGGCTTCTGTGAGCTGTTTCTTCAGGTCCAAAATCTCCAGCTGATTATCTAGTTTAGTGAATTCTCTAAGCTCATTGAAAGATTCTTCCAGTTCTTTGAGTTGTCTTTTAAGTACACTTGCACGTCTCAGCTATCACAGATTCTGCTTCGGCTAGTGCCTCCTCATATGTCTCTTCTTGAATAGGCCTCATTTCACGTCCGGATGATTCTTCTTTGGGTGGATAATTTTTCAATGGCATATACCCTAGGGATGCTTTTTTTAGGTGATACGTTGCCATAGTGTCCAAAGTATGACGTCTTAATGTTTTTTTCGGTGTTGATGCCGAGGCTCCCATTTGAAAGCGCCCGACAATAGATACTTCCGTTTTTAGTCTTTCTATCTCGAGCAGATACTCTTGTTTGCTTTTATCCATCTCTTTTAGCTTAATTGCCTGCTTTTTGAGCCGAGTTTCGAGATCGCGAGTCAAGTTCTGATATCCTTGAAGTGTCTCTTCTGTAGCTGACAAGATGTTTACTTTCGTTTTATTTTTGACAGTTTTAGTGCTTGGGCGAATTCTGGTGTAGATCTAGTCTCCTCCTCTGCAGCTAAAGTAACATTCCCGATAATCAATGATTTGGCATTACCGCCAAGAGCCTGTGAGAGCAGTCTAGTCAATTTCGAATCGCGATAACTGATAAACTCCTTCCCCTCGCTTAGTTGCCTTATCACATTTCCTAATACTGACAAAGATTTGTTTATGTTAGCCCCCTCTTTAAGACGCTCACCAGCAGCTTTCGTCAGAGAAACTCTCTCAGAACCAGCTAAGTCCATTAAGTTAAGGTAGCTTATATGTACAGGTCCATCTTTCTGATTGGCATCTTTCGACTCCAGAATAATCCGGAAAATCGTGTGTGATCGAGATGACCTCTCATTCATGCGAGTAGCTGCAACTCGTCTGATCTTATTGCCCTGCATCATGTTCTCCATAACTTTATCAACATTGTCTACGACAGCTTCCCTTGCATCAAGCAGCACATTTCCTTTGATATCTTCTTATAGTTAAACCCTGATTGCTCTTATCCAGGAGGTCATTGATCTTTTCATTGTAGATTTCAATATAACTGCATCTAATCAAGTACCTCTTATCAACCTGGTCTGCCACATGCTGGAATAACTGATTGGATACTAATTGGAAAAGCCCAGGATCTGTTTTATTGCCCAAAATGGTGTGTGTTTTGCCAGAAGATGTTTGGCCATATGCAAATATTGTGGCATTGAAACCTTCCATGAAGGAATCGACTAAAGGTTTTACTACAGATCCATATACATCTGAATTTGTACATTCCTGCTTAAATACATGGTCGAATATATAAACCTCTCCATGGCGACTACTTTCATCGGCTTCCCATATGCAGTTTACTCTTACGTTCCAAAGACGCTCTAGACCATCGGCTACTTCGCGGTGGATCATTGGTCTGATCTTTGTGGCTACTTTAATATTGTCGGAAGTCATTTTGGAAGCTTGAACTGAAATTTAATTAGAACTAGGGCTATTTCACGGGTTATAAAGAGGGGCAGATGTATCAGGTTGATACATTCTTTTTTTCCTCCTTTCCAGTATAGAAGATTTTTTTCTCTTGTAGGCTATGAATGCGGTCCGATAGTTTAGTAGAGCTACATTTACAGGGTGACTCAAAATCAAAGAAGAAACAGAATTGTTAAATTTCATATAGACTGTTATTGTTATTACAAAAGAAGTTGAAGCAGCAGCAAATTCTCACAAATCTATAGATCCATCACTTTCAGCACCCGATTTTTCAACTTGAAAAATGCAGCTCGGTGAAGAATCACAAGGTAACTGTTGTCTATTCAGACAATACTCTTCTAAAAGCAACGCGAAGTTACCTAGTGCCTTACATGAATCGCCTTCATAATTCTTCATTATTGTCAATGGAAAACTGAAATTGTTGATTATTACAGTTTTTAATGCTTCAAATAAACAGATGGTGTTCGTGTTGGAAATCCCACGTCTAATCTCGCAAAACAGGTTATCCACCGGATCTTACTATCAACATCTGAAATGCCATTACTGTTTTTAGCCATGTGTACAACAGGTTTGTACGCATAAGACACTCTTACATGAAAACTGTTTATTGTCTAAAAACGAAAATACCCCATTGAAGATGAGTAATGCAATAAATATAATCCTCGAAACTTGAACTGTAATATGAACATAAAAAAACTAACAAAATGGGCCATTTAACAACATATTTGGTGTTGATATTCTACAACAAAAACAAATACTTTCTCGTATAAGGAAACATACAATAATTAACATTTATCACTTTTCACGAAACAATGTAAGTGCGCTGTGACTTTACATACTTATTACAGATTGTAGAACATTTTTTTCATTGTGTATTGTCATGTAACACCTACGTCGTTTTTTTTCTTTAACAACTGCATCAGGATCGAGAACTCTGGGCTGAGAAGTAGACGGCTTACTTTATTCGTCGTTGGTAATTTAGGATTCTTTGCATGGCTGAACGAAGCTCCCTAGGAAGTCTTGGATCTGATAAACGTCCTCTCATACGAAGTTAAATTAGAGTTTGCCTCAGGGGAACAATAAAATTTCGTCGCCTAATGGAACTTTCAGTCCCAGACTGAAAAAAAAAGGAATTTACAGAAGCTGGTTGGATACCAAATAGCACAAGGCCATCTTCTCGTTCTCTAACCAGTATTGTAATTTACACACTTCCGATCTAATGCATTACCCCCCCGCCTTCATAGTGTTATAAAAAATATAGGATCTTATCAGGTTTCTTTGATTCCTCTACTATTTTGTTATCATGCTGCATAGATTGCTATACGAGAACATGTGTATTGGTTTTGGAAGATACTACTAAGGCTGTACAACATAAACTTAGAAGTACCTGGCTGTGTTTCCTTCTTATTTGGAACTACATGTTGGGGTACTTGTTACTTATTTTTACGCTTCCTGCCGACATAGGTCAGTTGGTTGATGCGCAATTCTACATGTAATTCTACTGACGTGAACCAGTCATCTGCTGTGAATTTCTGTTCGTATAGACGAAAGCATTGAGCAGGTAGTGGTGAGTCTTTGCATCATCAGTCCATACTTATTCGGTTTAGTTTTCTTGTAGGCACAGGAAGGACATCGGCCGGCCCACGAGCATCTCGTATTTTGTAGGGGACTCACCCGAAATATAACAATTTCGACAGTTCTCTATGAGTGTCTCGAAAATTTCACGTATTTGGAGAAATTTATCGGCATTTCTCGAGTCACAGGGTTATTATTTTCCAAATTGGTTGCCACGGACTTTAGTTCAGGTAAATGCGTAATAATCGACCAGTTGCAGGCGCTCGTTTTGACCAATTGTACATGTTTTTTCCATAGGCATAGCGAGGTCGCCCATAGGAAGTTGTTCAGGTTGATCGATAGCAGCGTCGTCCTCGGCGTAGTCTATAGTGTATTGTTCATCCGTCAACAACGAAAAAATCCATTGTGAAGGAAGTTCAAATCGTACACGCAACTGACATCCTCGGATCAAATTTGACCGCAAAGTCAACAAACCAACAATTGTGATGTTTAAATTAAACTGTGGTTTGAGGTATACGTGCTCATACCGTATGAGAAGTCACGGGACCCCCACCACATAACTGAGAAAGCTCGAATCATCCGACGATATCATTAAAGGATTAATTTCTATATTCTTGAACGAATCTATAAAATCAAGTGGCTGGGTTTCAATTTACATAGCTCTTTGTATGGTCTTGTTTGCTGATCAACATTATATGATTTCTAGACATGTTCAATCTGTGCAGCTTCTTCACTTTCATATTAATGTCAATAAGAGCATTTCATCCATTTTTGAATAAATGTGGTTCATCACAAATTGTAGAAATACTCTGAGCATTGACTATAAAATGGAATGGACTTGATCCGTGAGTATTCTCCGAGCAAATCGTCTCAAGTGCGTTTTTGATCGTTGCGGCCCTGATTAGAAATAGTGCCAACAACGCACAAACCAAGTCGCTGCTAGTTTGTGATCACATGAACAATAAATCGTTTTCAGATCTGGGATTCTTGTATCTTTACTAGATAATAAGCCACAACCTGCTTAATTTTTACGAATCCCTCTTCATGGAATAAGGGCATGATTTCTGATAAATCACTTTTCAGAGTTTCTAGTTGATTTGTTACCTCAGAATTCAAGATTTATTAGCTGAAAATTGTACACTGTGAGCACTGGGATCAGCCCTAAACTTTGTCCAAACCCTGCAATAATCGTAAAACACTAAACAAGGGTAGACATATTTCTAGTTTAACTGCCTGAAGATTTTTCTTATGGTTTATTACGTAACTCTCCACCTATTATCTCATTTTTGTACATGTTCTGGGAGAACTCAACTTGCTCCCTATAAAATGCAACGTCTTCCTGCACAGGTGGTTCTGGTTTAAGTGCCAGCCTGCTTCGGGTTTGTAAGTAGTGTTGCAATTTTTTCTCGATTCGTCCTTTTTCATAATCCAGATTTCGTTTTGGCATTCCAGTTCAGCCATTTGATCCTGAAGCTCTTTTATATAGAATCATTATGGCATCGTATATCTGAGATTTTAAATGAGTGGTTGACCTCACGTTGGTTACTCTCGTCCATCAGACCTCTTTACGGTCATATCTCAGTTTAGATTCAAGTTCTTTTAGGAAGCCAATTTCATCTTGCAGTTCAGCAATGTGTGACATCGTTACATCAGTTTGTGCAGCAGCACTTAAAGAATGTTGCATATCTTCGTACTCAGCGTCAAGCATAGCTTCTAGTCTGCAACCTTCTTTTTTGACTCAATATTTTGAGCTTCAAGAGATGGTTTAGGGCTCTCTGATCTTCCTAGGTTCTTCAGTTGAGTACGCAGCATCTCTATTTCTGACTCGTATGTTTTAGTCTTTTTTATTTTTTTTCCAGAAAATCGAGTCTTATTGCAAGTCGATGAAATTCTTGCGCTTTTTGAGAATTTTTTTGAACTCTTTCTATTCTTCGTTGTACGCATCCGTTACTTGGCGGAGTTCCTTGTAACGATCGAATTTAGAATTGGCTTCTGTGAGCTGTTTCTTCAGGTCCAAAATCTCCAGCTGATATCTAGTTTAGTGAATTCTCTAAGCTCATTGAAAGATTCTTCCAGTTCTTTGCGTTGTCTTTAAGTACACTGCACGTCTTCAGCTATCACAGATTCTGCTTCGGCTAGTGCCTCCTCATATGTCTCTTCTTGAATAGGCCTCATTTCACGTCCGGATGATTCTTCTTTGGGTGGATAATTTTTTCAATGGCATATACCCTAGGGATGCTTTTTTTAGGTGATACGTTGCCATAGTGTCCAAAAGTATGACGTCTTAATGTTTTTTTCGGTGTGGTGATGCCGAGGCTCCATTTGAAAGCGCCCGACAATAGATACTACTTCCGTTTTTAGTCTTTCTATCTCGGCAGATACTCTTTGTTGCTTTTATCCATCTCTTTTAGCTTAATTGCCTGCTTTTTGAGCCGAGTTTCGAGATCGCGAGTCAAGTTCTATATCCTTGAAGTGTCTCTTCTGTAGCGACAAGAGTTACTTTCGTTTTATTTTTGACAGTTTTAGTGCTTTGGGCGAATTCTGGTAGATCTAGTCTCCTCCTCTCAGCTAAAGTAACATTCCCGAATAATCAAGATTTGGCATTACCGCCAAGAGCCTGTGAGAGCAGTCTAGTCAATTTTCGAATCGCGATAACTGATAAACTCCTTCCCCTCGCTTAGTGTGCCTTATCACATTTCCTAATACGACAAAGATTTGTTTATGTTAGCCCCCTCTTTAAGACGCTCACCAGCAGCTTT